CAAGAGTCCGACTGTCAGAGGGGGAGGCCGCAAAGTGCAGCCGGAGGCGGCTGTGGGTACTAAAGGCAAAAATTGGCTCCCGAGGGGCTATTCTGCTGCTTGTGTGCTCCTGAGGGGTCCCTCCAGGCTGGCAGGGGGGGGGGCAGGCTCTGGGGAGACAACGCCCTCCTCCCCCTCCCACAGCCAGCCCCGCCCCAGGCATCTCCCCACCCTGTGGGAATCCTCCGGGTTCCCAGGAACACACACTTTGGGCCCTTCTGCAGTTCAGACTGCAGCCTGGGTGGTGCGGGAGGGAGGGGAGGACAGGGGTATCCTCTCTTCCTGGGAGGAGCTGGGTGCTCTCACCCCCTGAACCCCAGTGTTCTAGGCTGCATGCTGTGTCTGGAGTGATGGGGGGCAGCGCTGATCCCCGTAAGGCACAGCCTGTGACTGTCCCCTTGGTCTAGGGCTGTTTGGGGATTAGGTAGGGAAGCACCAGGAACACTGGAACCTACTGTGAGGAGAATGGAACTCATAACATGTTCCCTCCATTCCTCTTGAGGTCTGGTTGCCTAGGTACTGGCCACAGTCCTGCCTGCCTCAGTTTACCTTTATAACCAGTGTGGCATGCCCCTGTCCTATTTTGAACGGCAGGACGGTGGCAGCCTGGCCTACAGAGAAGGCGCTCACTCTGCTGACTCTCATCTGCAGGATTTCCTTCCTCAGCCTCAGTTTCCCCTCCTACAAATGAGGAAACCACACGTGGCAACTGAACACGAGTCTGCATGTGGTGTGGGTATTAAATAACCACCAGGTTTCAAAGGAAAACAGAGTGTAAACGAGCCAGTATGTCATCCTTCCGATACATAATCAAGACAAAAGAAAAGAAGAGGTGGTAGGCCGTCTGGCGAGCACTCTGAAGGGCCTAAGAGCATAAAGAGGGTTTCGAGTTCAGAAGAGTTCAGGGAGGAAATGACCAGGGCCTCTGGGGAGTGGAGGCCGTGGGGCCCGGGGGGGCAGGAGGCCACGTCTGACCTTGCAGAGGAAGCAGGCCTGAGGAAGCCTCCAAAAGGTTCAGGCCATGCAGCAACAAGGGTGGAGGGCTCTCAAGGCAGAAGGAAGTGCAGGAGCAAAAGTGTGGCCGTGGGGACGTGTGACGAAGATGGGGACAGGGTGGCGCAGTGAAGCTGGCAGACAGCTGGGGTGTGATGGGGCCATGCGAGGAGGCGGGGGCAGATGGTGGTGGCTTCCGACGCCAGGCGGGGTCCGCAGGTGCTCCCAAGAAGACTGACTGGCCAGGGATGGGGACCGAGGGAGCTCCCAGAGGACGTCCAGAGGAATGGAGGCACCTGGCCACCAGAACACACCGGCCTACTCCGCCGGCCTCGGAGACCCTCCAGCCCGTGGTTCTCTGGGAGTCCACCCTCCGCTTCCTTCTCCCCTCCGGAGAGGACAGCTTATTCCTTCCTGAGCATACATGGGCTCCCGCCAGGCAGCCAGCTCCTGGACACCTCACTTCTAATTATAGCCGGAGTTTTATGAGCGCTGGAGGGAAATGCCAGGTTCCAAGTGCCCCTGTTAGTGGCCACAGGCCCCCTCTCGCTTCCCTGCTTTCGCCTGTGGCCAAGGCCCATGTGCCCAGGACAGCACAGGGTGGCATGGTGGGGCCTTGGGGATGGGCCACACACAGTGCGCTGCCCCCAAGGCTGGGAGTGGGGGGCACTGGCTCAGATCCCTCCAAAGAGCAGGGTGGGAGGGAACCGGGCGCTGCCAGAGCTGGAAGAACAAGGCCAAGGGCGGCAGGTTGGAAGCCCGGGAATTCTCAGGTCTGCTCGGTCCTGGGGACGAGAGAGGTGATGACACAGAGCAGATGTCTGCGGGGACTCCTGGCTAGGGGTGCCTCTGAGGGTAAGGAGAGCAGACGTGAGAAGGTCCTGGGCTCAGAAAGGAATTCCAGAGGGAGCTCCAGGGGGAGCTGTGGATGTGACTGGACAGGGAGAAAGTGGGTGAGCTAAGGAGGCAGAGCGGGACTGCCCATGTGAGAAGACAGGGGAGCTGGGCAGGAGAGAGGCACATGCACAGAGAGAACCATCTAGAAAGAGACAAAGAGACACACACACACACACCCCTCCTTACCCCCAGAGGGAATAAGCACCAAAGCGTAGGTGTCCTGCAGGGCCACCACTCCCCTTCTCAGCGGCCTCCTCCAGCCCTCCCCAGGGGACCTCTGGGAAGGGGCTCCCCTGTCTGCTGGTCCAGCCTCCCCTGTGTCCACCCTGGAGAACCTCATGTTCTCTCTCAAACTCAGGAATGCTCTGAGCGCCACCCCCCCACCCCCCACCCCGGCCCAGTCTGCCGCCTGAGTGCCGTGTGCAGTCCCAGCTCGCATACTTTTGGTGATGAGGAACCCACTACCCACCCAGAAGGCAACTAAAAAAAAAAAAAATCTCCAGACAGCTCAGACTCTTGGAAAGTTGAACCCGAGGATGCCAGGGAGACAGCGTGGTTGCCACTGAGGGGCCTGAGCTCTGCCGACCAGAGTCTGCTGGGCAAGAGTGTCCTTTCATCAGGAGTTTGCAAAACGGCAGAGCTGGCCCCTCACTCGGGCTGTCATTCGGAATTATAACAAAACTAGAGAAACAATGTCCTAGAGCCAGTACCATCTCCTCGACTGTGACAGCTAATGAGGACCAAGAAAATCATTCGTTCATTCACTCCCTCACTCAGTTAATAAAATATCAGCTGGGCAACAACCCTGTGCCGGGCGCCAGGATGCAGGGGTGAACAAATCATTTAATCTTCTTTTCTAGTCTGACACCTGCCCTTCACCCATTTTACAGGCGGCAAAGCTGAGTCCAAGGAGAGGCAGGGCCTTGCTCCAAGTGGCCCAAGGAGCGGCGGGCGAGGGGCAGAGCTCACACACGCTGCTGCAGGCTCTGAGCATCTGTCAGCCCCAGGAGAAAAGGGAGGGGCAGCCTGGCCGCCCCCCCCGCCCCCCACCATTTCTAGGACACTGAGGTATTGATTACCACCCTTGCCTTGTTGTGGTTTTCTTTCCTTTTCTTTTTCCATCAAGGCTTTCTGGTCTTCCTTCTCTCTTTTTTTTCTTTTTAAAGACTAAACTCCAAGCCTCTCCTATGATTAATTACCAACTGCCTAATGCTCTGCCACTGGCAATTTCTGGAAAGGGAATGAATTACCTTGAAAAACACCCGAGAAGAGAACCCACCGTGAAGGAGAGTTTCAGAGGTTACCCCACAGTTAGCAGTGGGTTCCCCTAGCCTTATCGAGTTGCTGGCAGGCCCTCTGGGGAGGGGCGGCTGCCAGACTTTGGGGGCCACCCTCTGGCTCCCGAGGGCAGCCAGGCTTAGAGGGCCGGGCAAAGGCACCAGGCAGAAAGGGGGGTGGGTTCCTGAGCACCCACCTCGGGCCTGCCAGTGGCTCAGCCCCCGGTCTCTACGGCATCGTGGACCACTTAATTCCACGGTTCAAATCCCCATGCCACTACTTAACAGCTCTATGGGTTTCTTAACCACTTTGAGCCTCTGGAGAACGAGGCACACTAAACACACCTTCTCACGGGATTACTGCGGGGAGAAATATGTATTTAAGCAGCATAGTGCCTGGTACACAGTAGACTCTCACTAAGCTCTAACATTTAAAAATATTTCAGGCTTCCAAGCACCCCCATAATGGCCTTCTCAGCAGTGTTGGTATAATTATCCTCATTTTCAGATGAGAATACTGGCTTCACTCTCACAGGAGTGAAAGGACCAGCCCAAGGTCATGAGCTGAGAGCAGGGAGCTGGGATCTCCTGCCGCCCTGCTCCCTGGTTCCAGAGCCCGACGGTAGTGTGGAGCATCCCAGGCCTCGCCCGGCCCTGTGTCTGGGCACCTGGGAGCACAAGGGGCCTCAGGAGAGGAGCTGAGGGCAGCAGGGAGATGATTGGGTGAGGCCTCATGCCAGACCAAAGACTCTGCCTCCCCTGACTGGGCCCCAGAGCCTTGGGACAAAGGGCCCTGGCCCAAGTCAGCACTTTTGTGAAGGCCTCTCATCTCTGGGTTGGGAGCCGCAGAGTAAAGAGGGATTACACAGGTCACCCTCTGACATGGGGCCAAGTGTGATCAACCCTGAAATGCCACTCTGTGATGAGACACGCCGGCGTCCAGGCCAGCGCAGGGCCGGGAGGCTCAACCCCAGGACCTTCTGGCTCCAGCTACTCTCAGGAGCTCCCCGGGGAGCCCCAAGACTCTCATTATGGTGCACGACCAGTTTGTGTCCATTCTGGCATTGATGTGTGCTCAGGGAGGAGGGGCTGGTGGGAACCGAGGTGTCCGGAAAGAAGGAAGGGTCCCCGCATCCTGGACAAGAATGCTGACCTAGCCTCCTGCACGCATAACTGGTACCAGGTGTGCAGGAGCACCTGGGGGGCAGGTGCTGTGAACCCCTCCCTCTTCTGCACACGGGGAAATCGAGGCCCCGAGAAACCGCACAGGGTCATGGTGGGCAAGTGGCAGAGCCAGGATTTGAACGCAGTCACTCTGACTCCGGAGCCCAGAGATCTGTGTGTGCGCCTGGGTGTGTTTGTGGCAGAGAAGGGGGCAGGCAGTCACAACTCCCAGCAAACAGGCCTCTCTGCTCACCCAGGCCTCCTCCTGCGTGGCCGCCATGTTGCTCAGCAGATGGGGCCCGTGCGCCACGAGATTGCGTGGTACAGACAGAGCTGCTGGGTCAAGGCTGGGGACACCAAACCTGCCCCCCTGCCTGGCTGCATTCCCCCACCCCCTGCCCTGGCAGCCACTCCAGAGAAAGGTCAGGCCTTAGAGGCCTCTGGGAGCCCTTCTGGGGGCTGAGGAGGTCTAAGCCAGGGTGGCTGCACCCCATTCCACCCATGAGGATGGAGGCCCAGGCAGAGGTGCAGGATGCCAGGGCCAGCACCCACTCCCCACTCAGGACATGCCTACCCCTTCTCCAAGCATCCGGGCCAAGCCTGCCCCCACGAGCCCAGCTGCACACCTACCTCAGTGACCCGCGAACCACCAGCGTCCCACGTCTGGTCAGCAGTGCTCGCCCCTCCGCCTCACTCCAGTTCCATCCTGCTGCAATAGGAAGGGGTGGTCAGAGGGGCCCCTCACTGCAGGGCCTGGAACTGACTGGGCCGCCACTGCCCACCTGCCCACCTACTGGAAAGTTTACTGCCAGCAAAACCCAGTCATCCCCATTTGACAGACAGAGAATCAGAGGGACTGAGAGGACGAGGGGCACAAGGATGGGGTGCCCTGACTCAGCAGCCCCCCAACACCCCACATCAGCCAGTTACCACCTATGTGGATATGCTCCTGGCCTCACCTGTCAAACTGACAAGTGGATCAGAATCCCTCTCAGGGTTTCTAGGAGCATCTGAGGACATACGGTGATGGAAGCACTCGGCATTCACTCATTTGCTCAAGAAACCCTGAACAACCACCCTGAGCTGTGAATAGGATGGTGGCTCCTGTCCTTGCGGGGATTGTGATAATTAGACACTACATAACTAGAAGAGGCATCTGCCAGAAAGAACGAGTTACAGGCGCTACACAACACAGACTCAAGGTTCAGGGAGCCTCTCTGGGGAAGTAAAGTTGAAGGATGAGCCAGAGAGAGGCAGACCAAGATGCATGGAACAGCATTCCAGGCAGAGAGAACACTATATGAGAAGACTTGAAAACAGGGAAAAAAGCCTGGATTCAGGGGGAGGAGTTGAGAGTGGGTGGGTGGTAGGGGAGGTGAGGGAAGGAGAGGTGGGGCGAGTGGGGGTCAAGTGGATGGCCAATCACTGAGAGGTGGACAGGAGCCCCAGGAGGGTCTGAACAGCTGAGGGACATGACCCTAGTTCTGGTTTGAGAAGATCCTGTGGCTGCGGGCTGAGAAGGGCTCGGGAGGGACAGGAGGAGGCAGGGAGACCGGTGTGGAGTCTGTTCCAGGGGTCCAGGCTGGAGACGGTGGGGCTCGTAGCAGAGGGGACAGCAGGCAGAATGGCCAGAACTGCTGGTGCACGGGGCTCGGGGAGACGACAGAGCGAGGGAGAACCCCTGCCCCCCACTGTTGCTGCGGCACGACTGCCCTCACGGGGTGGGGAGGGGTCCCACTCGCCCATCTCCTCAAGGGCCACCAGCACTCCTTGCTCTGCTCTGCTCCCCGTAGGGATCGCGGACGACCGGACCCCGAGGCCCAGCAGGGGGGTTTCTCTGGAGCCCTGGCTACAAGGCATGGGCCACTGAGCCTCACATTCGAGTCCCAGCGACGGAGGCGCCTCACTGGGTGGCTCCAGACAATTGCCATACTTCTCCGGGGCTGTGCGTCCTCTAAGAAATGGGAAACCTGACTGTGGGCCGAGTGCCTCTCGGGGTGAGCCCCATGGCTGACAGAGGAAGGAGGAGCGCGCGGGCCACGTGAATCGTGGGCTCCCACACATGCCAGGGGGCCGTCGGGAGGCCTCGGACCCGGCCCACTGCACTCGGCAGCCGGCAGGCACACCCGGGAAGACAAGCGTGGGCTGTGGCTGTTTCAAGTCTGGGTTTCACCCCTCTTACCAAGTATGTGGCTTTGGGTAAGTTTCTTAAACCTCTTTGTGCCTCAGTTTTCTCATCTGCGGGATGGGAACCTCCCTCAAATCGTTGTAGGAACTGTAGAAGGGAGCACACACGAGTGCTGGATACGCAGGCAGCGTTCCGGGTAGGTCAGCTGGGGCAGCAGTGACCTTGCAGGGGCTGGTGCTGGGCTCCAGAGCATTAGGCCCCTAAGCCCCAAGCTCCCAAGGCCAGGGCTGGCCTCCCTGCCCCAGCAGGGAAAGACAATGTCTCTCCACCCCGACCCTTCGGCTCTGGCAACCCCCTAACCACTTGACACGGGAACACAAACAGCCCTGGTATTCACGGACTCCGGCTCTCCCATTTCCCAGAGGAGGGATCTGAGGCCTGAAGAGGGGCCGTGACCACCCCCATTGCAGGCTCACGCAGCAAGTCAGTGGCTGGGGCAGAACCGGAATCAGCGCCCTGCTTCTCCACCACCCACAGCTCAGGCCTTTCCCAAAGGCGAGCTGGCCTGCAGACCCGCTGACAGAGAGAAAATCATGACTTTGGCAGCTGAGATCGAAGCCAGAGCTGGAAAGCCCGCGCTCACCCCATGAGCCGCGTCCAGGCCCCAAGGAATGACACCCGCCCGTCCTGCCTCTCAGGGGCGCTCCAGCTCACAGCATACACGCATGTGCCCTCAGCCCCCCAGGCTCTTTGTTGGGCTTGGGCAAAGGGGCACACAGACCAGAGAGGGGAAGAGAAGTATCCAAGGTCACACAGCAAGTCCACAGATAGGTTGGGGGCTGCACCAGGATATAAACTCAGGCCCTGGCTGGGAAATGACCCCCCTTCCCTGTGAGTCTGGGAAAGAGACAGGACTAGGGGGCCTGCCTTTATTGAGTCCATATTGGGGTTCTGCCTGGGATATTTCTTTAACCTTTGGTAAATGTTATGAGGCAGAAACTAAACTGGCACCCCCAATTTACACATGATGCCCAGAGAGGTTCTATAACTTCCTGAGATCACACAGGTAACAAGGAGCTAATAAGTAACAAGAACACAGCCATGACGTGTGGCAGGCCGTCTGCTGCACCCATGCTCGGCCCGTTCCCAGAGGACCAGCTCAGAGACAGTGCTGGGCACTCGGGCTCCCCAGCCGCGGTGATGGGCACTGCTCACAGAGGCATGGAAGAGCTGTGAACATGGAGCTGATATCATCCCCGCTGCCCCAGCCCCAGGGTCCCTGAGGTGAAGCTCACAGTCTGTGTGGGTTTGGCACCCTGGAGACCAGGGGGAGAAGGAGGGAGATGGACCCAAACTGGGCCTATCCTGTGCCCACTGGGCCTGCTCCCAGCCTGACCACCACCAGAAACAACACAGATCCACCGCAGGGAAATGTTCTCTGCTTCAAAGGCACTTGGTGCCATGCAGCGGGGCGGGGCATGGGCTGAACCTCAGGGCCGAGGGGGGGTGGTGGGGCTCGCCCAGTGGCCCCACGGGGTGGGAACCCCATTGCCCAGAGGGCTCTCCTGGCATCCTTAGCTCAGGACTCTCACTCCAGGGGCGGGGAGGGGGGTGAGGACCTGGCCAAGGGGCAGCCTCTGACTACAAAGGCTACAAGGGCAGAGAGGGGCGTGCATTCTCGTTGCCTGTCTGAAGCTCCCAGGGGCAGGGCAGGGCAGGAACGGCTGCCCATTCTGCAGAGCAGGAAACTGAGCTCTGAGGGAGGATAGGATTGCCAGAGGTCTCACAGCTGGAGAGTGGCAACTCTGGGTCTGGGAACATGGCCAAGGTCACCGTGGGGTGGGGAGCGTCCCAGGACCCAGATATATTCTCCCAAACACACCCACCTGCCCATCCCTTCCTCCTGCAGGGATGCCGTGGCCCTGGGTGTTGGCTTGAGGGGAGGCACCAGGCCAAGCTGACTGGGGCTGGCCCAGAGAGATGCAGGGCTGATCGGGGCTCGCTGGAGGACAGAGGGGTCTGCGCCACGGGGCATCCAGGATGACAGGCACCCTGCCGGCTCTGTGTCTGCGGCTCCAGGCCTGTGGCTAAATGACTGGTTGTTCTCTACAGCTGCCCAAGGCTCAGAACCCACATTCTGGGCTGGAGCCCCGGTCCTGTCCTCGGTGGTGAGGTCAAGGACGAGGGTGGGCAGAGCGGGATTGGAATCCTTGCTTTGCCCTTTAATGTTGGGTGACCTTGGGCAAGTCACTCAGCATCTCTAAATCCTCATCTCCTTTCTGAACAGGGACTAGTGGCCCCTCCAGCTATTCGCCCACCAGCCCACCACGGGCAGGCTGACCTTGTAGAGCCCTGCGTTGGCCAGAGCACTGACTTACCCACAGGCTACCCGGGGGAGGGGGGCAGACTGCCCAGTGTGGTCTGTGGGCAGGTGGCCATCCGGACGGCGTCTCCGGCTCCGGGCCCGAGTTCAGAGCCCCTGTCACATGCTGCTAAGCATGCTCTGGTGGCTGGGAGGGCTTAAGACAAAACGGGTGTGTGGGTCCAGGTGCCACATACGAAAGAGCAGGTCAGGGAATGATGGCTGTTAAAGTCTGAAGGAGGGGGCAATTCCTCAAGGTCATAAGTGGCCAAGTTGGGACCGAAACACGGTCACATGGGACCCACCCAAACTGGGCCTATCCTGTGCCCACTGGCTGAGCTGCCCTGAGCCGGCTCCCGTGGCGCTGGCCTTCCCCACAGGGGCTGTTCTTATTCCCATTTTACAGATGGGCCAAACCGTGCCTGGTCCTACGGGCCAGGGGCCCTGTCTCAGGCCCTGCACAGGCAGGGGGTGGCCTCAGACCCAGCTCCCAGGCTCACTGGGGAGAAACGGCTTCGCCCCCACTCGAGATCCACCCAGGAAAGCATCTCCTTAGGTGACCCTAGGAACAGGCCCCTTGCCCTCCCCTGGCGGACGGTACCGGCTCCGGGAGCTAGGCAAATATTTACTGCGCTGGTTTATCCAAACCAGGCTGGCCGCCCCGCCTCCCACATTCCTGGAATACATGTTCGCTGACCTCATCAAGCTGGGGGGTTGGGGGAGAGGAAGCCAGACCATGGGGAAGGGCCAGACTGAGGGTCCTGGGCCTCGGTAGAAGCCGTGGAAACTGGGGGCCTGCTGGCCAGGAGGAAAAAGGGCAGTTTCGAACTGTTCCTCTGACCAAACCCTGACCAGGGGAGGCCCCAGGCAGATCTTGTAGCACAGGACTGGGCCAGAGCACAGACCTAGCCACAGGCCACCGGGGGAGGGGGCTGGACTACCCCAGCGCCCCCTCTGAGCCTGCAGTTGAGGGCTCCAGCACCAGGCCTCCAGCTCCTCACCCCTGCTGCCAGTCACCCGCCCCAACACACGCACATGCACACCTGTTGGACCTGTGGAGTGAGAAACTCAGCCTGCCATAAACACGCAGATTCTCCAGTCTGCTAGGCTCCCCCCTTTTTTTAAAGATTTCATTTATTTATTTGAGAGACAGACAGTGAGCGAGAGAGAGAGCAGGAAGGAGGGGGAGGCTGATGCAGAGGGAGAAGCAGACTCCCCC